TTTGAGTATCTTAATGCCCTTCAAACCATAAACTCCATGATTTTTTTTACTCTATTTATAGCATTTGTGGGTGACTCCAGAGAAAGAGGTGGTGGCCTCAGTTTTCGGATCCTATGTGTAGTCCCCAACATCCCCAACATGGTAGTGGTTGAACCTGGGACACCTGTCATCAGGCCTTGCTGATCCATCACGTCCTCCTAAGAATCACTGGATTTTAATTATGCGATAGCTCCGGCTTTCCTTACACATTCAATCTTTGCCAAGGACTTGGTGTTTCCTGCTTTGATTTTTGGCTCATCACTACACTTCATTTGTTCAAAGTCAAATCAGAGCTTTCAGAGCCCTGCTGACCATCCTCAACCATTTATTTTTAGTTTGTCATCTCCAGCTAACAAATGGACAACAGTTTTCTTCATTCCACTCCCAACCACCGTCTTTTTGATCATCATGAGATTTAGAGTCGACTCAGTTTGGCACCTTCCCCACCCCGGTAAGGTCAAATGCTTCAGGAAGTGCTCATTGGGTGGCTGTGTGTCTAATTATAATCTTCAAAATGCTTCTGAGCAAATATCTGGTTTTGTGCAGGAACTCAAAGTTTAGACATGACTATTCCTTTTTTTTTAATCCTCACCTGAATACATTTTTCCATTGATTTTCAGAGTGGGAAGAAGAAAGGGAGAGAGAAATATCAATGTGAGAGAGACATATCCACCCATCAACCCCAACTAGGGCTGGGGATCGAACCACAACCAAGGTACATGCCCTTGACTGGAATCAAACCTGCAACTCTTTGGTCTGCAGGCTGATACTCTAACCACTGAGCCAAACTGGCCTGGGCTAGACATGACTATTCTTAAACTTAAAATGCATTCAGGTTGGTATTGTGCAAGGCAGCATAGGGCACAGAAGACATATAAACATGCTCTCTCTGCCCTTCTGTGGCTTATAACCTGGGATACAGGAAGTAAAAAGGGAGGAAATACAAATTTCAGAAAGGTCATGTGAATGGATGGAAAAGAATGCCACAGGAGTTAAGAGGCCCATGAACTAAACACTCGCAGGAGACCTCTTTTACACTGGACCTTCAAGAATGGTCACTGCCTCTGTAAGGACCGTTCACTTAGTGGAAGGGGATCTTAGGAGAAGAGATGGTGAATGGACAAAGCACATCCTTAGGAAGCAGAAGGGGTGTCTGAAGGCTGGTTAAGGAACTTCTGGAATGAGCATAGAGAAGGAAGCCCCAGGACCTAAACGTACGCACGGGGCAATGTCTGCTACAGGTGCAGGCGACAGCGGTGTAAAAGATGGACTGGCAATCCAGAAGTTCTGAGTTTAGACTTCAGCTCTCTCACCCCATTCAGGCGACCTTGGACATACCACATCGGCCATGTAGGTTGAGTGAGTCCCCTATAAAATAGAAAAGGCATGGCAGAAATAGCTAGTTGGTGCGAGAACCAACAGATATTAAATGTTCCACAAATGTCAAATTAGGACAAGTGGTGCCGAAATAAAGCGGAATTGCGCCTAGCTCAAGTCTAACTGTGATGGAAAGCAAAACCTTCCACACCCACTGCCGCGCAGGCACCTGACGTGGGAACACAGGTGGCTAGTCTTTGATTTCACCCAGCACACATTTTCAGAAGGCTCAAGGAGCATGTGCTTTGCTCTCCATTGAAAGTGAGCCACTCTGCCTCACCTTCACCACCACGCCAGCTCCCAAGAGGCCCCATGCCACTCAGACACCCATGTTGGCAGTTTTCTGCTTAAACCCTCCAAATAAACGTGGTAAGATTGGCTTTTTCAGATAGCAGCTGCATCTTTCTTCCATTCCCTTCGCTTCCTTTCAGACTCAGCAGTTTTCCTCTTCGCTCTAGATAAGTTGCTGTTCATTTAAATGTACTGCGGATCCTGGCCATTTTATGGCTGATTGCTTCTGAGTAATAGGAGGAAAATGTGTGCGTGTTTGAATGTAAATAAATCTTGAGTCGGAAGCCAGTGATAAAGAAAGCATGGTGCTTCACTGACCTTCACCCCCGCCCCCAGGCCTCCCTTTGGAAGAGGTCAGTGAGCAGATGGGAAATCAGCAAATAGCGAAGACTGAGTTTTAGGACACATCTAGGTGTTCCTTCTCTGCTTTCCACTTCAGTTCGCATTCTCAGACAGCATCTGCTTCAACCTTGCTCCGCTGGAGCTCGGCCCATGTAGGCAGTGGAGGCAGTGTCCTGAGGTTGGTTTGGATAAAGGAGCTGTTCTCACAATAGCTACCATGTACCGTCGGAATGCTGCAGATGCTTCAGAATGTCACATTGTCAACATATCTATATTTCAGGCTCAGAAGCTAGACAGCTCGTTTGGCTGTTAAACCTACAAGATGTTCAGACATTTGTTGTGGTCTAAAAACTTTCCCCCTCACTAGGAGAAAATAATTACCTGTTGTTTCATATTGTGCTGTGGCCCCTGTCTTGAGTTCCTTATAGGAGGGCAAAAGTCATGAGATCCTGGTAAGTAGATTGGGTCCCTGATTAGATTTTACTATCAAACCCTGAGAAATACGAAACATGGGATGCATTTCTTAATAAAAGGATCAGATACTTAAATCAAACGAGTGTTTCAATATATGGTGGTGTGTCTTTAGTGTATCAACAGTATGTAAATATCAGGGGTATTGAGAGGAGGCGGACTTGCCTTCCTTGAGGTGAGGGATGGTAGTGACAGTTTGAATGCAGACATTGCACATTGTTTATCTTTGTAACAGGCTGGTTTTTCCTCATAAGGAAGATATTGCATGTGTTTTTATGGTGGCTTCGTTTCTTATCGCAAGGGCACATGGAGCTAAGGTATGCTTCTTTGAGAAGGATGCATCACAAAAGGCAAAACAGAAGGAGGTTGAAGAGGAACACCTGACATCCATTTAAATAGGGGCAAATGCCTTGTGCCCCGAGTGAATGGCCGTCTAAAAGAGCTTGCATCTAGCAAAGCAAACTGTTTTCCAATTGTAATGTTAAAGAGCCTGGAGGCGCATCGGGAGGAAAATGTCCGATTCGAGCAAAGGAAGAGTGGCCTGGTTCCTGCTGTAAACGCTCTGACATCAGTAAACATTTAGAGTTCCTGAGCCAAATGCTCATAAACTAGTTTATTGAGTCACAAATCTTTTTGGTCTTCTATCAGTGTCACCAAGTTTCTCCTGTTTTTATTGGCAAACTTGACATCCCAATATTAATTTTATTGTTTCAGTGGGAAGGAATTTGAGAATCACTCTGTTCAAACCTGGTGGAATAATGAAGGGGTTTGGTTGGTTAATTTGGCATGCTTGCCCGTGTGCCATAGTGGCCTCCAAACTCGTGCAGCTTATGTATGCCTGGGGGCTGAACTCTTAGAGTTACGAAGGAAAATTAATCAGCGCCCCTGCGCACTTCCTACATCCTCAGTGCTTTGTGGTGTTTAAATCCACAAACGGTGTTTGGCGTCCGACCTGAGTCTTGTTCCTGAGACTTGGAAGGGCAGGAGGCAGAAGTGCTGTGGAAATGATGCTCCATCGTGTTGTTGTAAATGATGATACAGATTGGTGGTGGTAATTACAGCTCTGGAGGCAGATGACACCAGCACTTGGCAGACCAGACACCAGGTTGAGGAATAGTGAGAGCCTGGAGGGGTTGTGTTTAGACGTGCCTTCCAAATCTGAACTTGAAAACTTCTTGGCGGTTTCTACCACGACGTCATCTATTTTGTCACTTATGAATCTGATGAAGATCCATGCAAATTACACACAGAATTACATGTCACAGAATCTCCCCTGTTCCTGCTGGGTTTTCACGGGCAACTTTAAAGAGGCTTTGTCCTCCCTGCACAGGGACACAGCAGGGTGGCCATAGCGTCTGAGTTCCTGGATCAGAAGCTGAGCACATGCCCGTTATTGGATCTTACACAAGGGGCTTTACTCCCTGGGCCTCAGTTTTCACACCAGTAAAGAGGGAGCACTAGTAGAACCCATTTTATAGTCAGTGTGAAATTAAATGGGCGGCTTTGGACAAAGAGCTTAGAAGAGAGCCTGGCACAAAGTCGATTAGCTGTTATTTATGGTGCAAGTTGTTTCCTCACTTTTCTCCAGCTGTGGGACGATGAAGTCTTTGAGGTCAAGGAACTCTGTTCTCTTCATTTTTGTATCATCTATTACAGTGTCTACGATTTGGTCTGTACTCAGTAAATGTTTGCAGAATTAATTAATATTAAATATTATATGTTTTATATCTATTATATGTAATATATACATAAATGATATGTCATATATAATACACATAAAATATATATATATACAATATACTACATGTTATATGTTATATATCATATGTGATATAATAGATGTCACATCTCTGTATATCTATGTGTCATATATATGCTGGGTGCTTGATTCCATTTAAACAAATAATTAATTACATAATATTAGGATTTCTGAAGGAAGAATCTAAATCTTGTGTGGTCCAGTATTTTGTCAGTTAAATCCAGCCAGTCCTCTGCTTTGGTTGCTGAGTAATTTATCAGTTATTTTAGAAATAACTTGGTAAAATTAAGCAGGGAAAAAGAATTAGGATTATGGTAGATATTTGTTGTCGAGTTTTATTTTTTGCCCCTATACATGAAAATTCTTCAGGGGTCATCTATATTGTTCACAAATTTCTCCTACTTAAATTAAGAAGTTAATAATGGATACGATTGTGGGTAGAGCTGTGTGCAGAAATTCTTTACGTTTCTTTCCCATGTTTCGTGTGCCATGTAAAATCGGTGTCGAGTTTAAAACAAAGTTTCTCAATAACGAGATGCACATTTTTCTCCCAATTTCTGTTCTGTTATTATATATTCCTTTATGTTTTAAAGCATATTCCATGTTGTGTCTTAATTTTGATGTTTATTTATGTTCTTTTAAAAGTGATTGTACTTGTATGTTAATTTCCGTTGATTTTCCTTTTGAGCATGACTTATGTTTTATTTTGTGTTTCTTTTAGGTTTTGTTTTGTTTCATAAGATTCCACTGGATGGGTAGCTGAAATAAAGGAAAAGACAGAGAAAGGGGCTGTGGTGCTTGTTGGTTGATGCTGCCTTGTAAGCTGGACTCTTGGGACTGGCATTGGCTCCTCCCGGGAAGTCTGCTTACCTGGGGTTTTCTGGTAGAGGTGGGCGGTGTTCGCAGGAGGCTCCGCATGAAGCCTGCAGACCGTGCGCTGTGATGGGGAACACCAGTGCTGAGGCAGCTCCCAGGCAGCTCCGCGGAGACGCAAGAAAACACCTTAAATTAATGCTTCTCTTTTGTTCCTACAATCGTTCAAATATGGAATTGACACGAAATTCCACTGGCTTGTGCTTCTCTTCTGAAAGATGTGCTGTTTGACCATACTGGAAATGTATCTGATGCTATTGTTTCTGTTTATTAAAGATGAACTACAAAGTTAAAACACATCTACATGTAGAGACAGGTGGAAGTAAGTGCACACTAAACTGTAACCTCCACGTAACACGTGTTTCAGCATCGTCTTCTGTCGTTGTTTAATCAGTGCTGAACTGAGAACGTTTCCTTTTTCCATCTACGCCGCGGCGGCTAAAAGAGCATATACAGCATCGCAGTGGGGACGTGGTGATGTCACGTGAGGTTCTTTCTTTCACTGATGATAAAAGTCCGGAGCCAGGCAATCCACGCTAATGATTTCAAGTTTCCTTGATGATTTTTCTTAAAGGCAAACAATAAGTAAAAGAAGCTGTTCGGTCGGGGCTGTGCAGGTAGGTTAGGCACAGTCAGCCTCTGAATAACTAAAGGAGTGACATATATGCATATGTCCTTTCATTTGCCCTCTGCGACCCACCTGCTTTTTAGAAGTTTGTCGAGTGATAAGGCCGCAGCATCCCACACTGTTCCCATCACAGAACCGCGGCTTTTCTTCTCTGAAAGGCCTGTGAGCAGAATGGCTGGCCTGCTGGGAGCAGGAGCCGATGCTGGACACAGGGTAGTCTCCCGACGACCTGCGGCACGGCTGCTGGCTTTCCACGGGCAGGTCGGCTCTTCCCGACCCCAGCAGTCCAGAGGTGGCAGGTCGCTAATGAATATGTGCTTTATCTTGTCCAGCTGCATTGCTGGGAGGGCGGCCTTACAGCTCCAGAACCCTGTGTCCCTGCCTGAGTCTTACCGTGGACCTCCGTGTCACCGCTTGGCCATGGCCGTGACCTTGGTACGCTCAGCTCAGCGTGCGCCAGGCAGGGTCTCCGTCAGAAGCCAGGTTGGCTGCCCCAGCCCACCTCACCTCACACCTTTCTTGTTAAAGGGACTTCAGAGCCAGGCCCGGAACATGTCCATTGAAAACACAATCAGCTCTGTACAGCACAGGGAATATAGTTAATAATATTGCCGTAACTATGGTGTCGGGTGGGTACTGGATATATCAGGGGAGCGCTTTGTAAAGTATATGATTCTCTAACCACTATGCTGCACAACAAATACAAAAAAAAGTGAAAGTAAACAAACAAACAAAGAAAGATGTGCATAGATGCCACAGCTGAATTGGAAACTTAATGACCTTTTTCAAAGAGAATTTTTTTTTTTTTGAAACAGTTACACAGTTTTGCAGTTCAGCTTTAAGGATGCGTAGATTTTTAACTGGTCTAACATGTTTGGAAATGTTTTGAATCCTGTGTAACCAAGGCTTTCATCTTAATATACCAGGATCCATGCAGGCACCACTTGATATAAAAAGATTATCCATGATGGATATTTTATGCTCCATCTTTTACGTTAGCCACTAACTAGGGCATTTCCTGATGCGGACGTGTCACAGAGCCCTGTGGGTTACAGCATTGGACCTGGCTGCTCCACGCCAGGCCTGGGAGGGGCAGTTTCTCCAAAGCGTAAACAGACTCCTCGTTTTCAAAAGTTTTTTTCCAGAAGGACATTTGAGTGTGAGGGCAGCTGGCCCGTGGTGTGGGGAGGTCTGAATGTTCCTGACTTTCCATTTTCTGGCTTGCTGCTAAGTGACAGTTCCTGTCACGACTGAGATTCTGATCTTTCCCAAAGGTGTGGATTTACAGAGAGGCCAGCTAATTGCAGAAATCCTGAACCCTGAAAGAAAAAGGAAATTCAAACTGGAAACCAAGCAGGGGCTGTCAGGACGGCTCAGGTTCTTAAATATCGGCCATTCGGTGCATTTCTTTTCTTTTTTAAAAGCTTTTATATTATTCCATAGAGCTATAAAAAGGCGATGAATTGTTTAAGGCCTATTTTTAAAGTTTCCCAGACCCAAAAGAAAAAAAAAAAAAGGATATTTGTACTCAACAGCTAGAAGGATGACAGGGTAGATTTTTGTTTTTAAATGGAGAGAAGTGGACAGATAAGTCAATTTACTTTATCAGACCACAGCTGACATCTCCTAGGGAACGAAGCAGGCTATTAGAAAATTGTGTCAGATGGCTCTTGAGTTCTTTGCTTTTCATTTTTTTTAAATCCCTGAAGACCACAATCAGACACATAGCTCCTCCTGTCTATACTCTAGACTAACCCCTTTCATCCTTTTGCTTTTCATGTCCTCTATAAGAAATCTTTTTCGGGATCCTAATGTATTTCTGCAACATTAGAAAAAGGCAGGCAGCATTTTTGCTGAAATGCAGTCTGTCGCCCGCCAGCAAGGAGCTGGCATTTCAGTGCCAGGCGGGTCCCCTGCGGGCGCCCTGTGCCCTGGTGGCCCTTCCTGCCTCCCGGAATGTGGACCCAGGATTCCAAATCTTCTGACTCTCTAAGAGGAACTTGAAACCTGGACTCTTGTGGGAAATGTTCCTATTTTTAAAAAGTTGACTCAGTTATTTTTAAAACGTTATGTAGGCCAACAAAACATGTCTGTGGGCTGCCAGTGTGTTACTTTTGTCTTAAAGCAGGATCCTCGTTCCCGCGCGGCTTCTTGCTGCCTTCCCTTTGCAAACGCGCTTCCCAGCAGGGCCACTGCGGCTCGGCCGCCGAATCACCCCAGGGGTCTGCGGGCGGCACCTCTGGGGCTCTCCCTTTGGCCGCTGGGGCCCGGCTCTCTCTCCCTGCTGGGGACTCTCCTGCAGTGGTGTTTGACCTTCCTCCCTGGCTGGCCCCAGACCATGTGGCCAGAGGCAGCCCAGTGAGTCCTTCCCGGCTTTGTCTGCTCGGCTCCTTGCCCAGTCTCCGAGCTGCCTGGCCTCCGGTGCAGCCGGGTTCAGGGGAAAGGGCGCGGCCCCCTTCCACGAGCGTCCTTAAGGTACCGATATGGGGCCATTGATAAACGGAGAACAGCTGTGTCCTTCTCGGCAGTCATGGTTCAGGCCCTGTGTCTTGGCCCCACCAGCCCCTCCAAGGAGCTGAGATGGACTAGGAGTCATCACAGGAGGCAGCAGTCTGCAGCCAGCAAGGCGAAGGCCCCCATCTCAGCAGGAAGAAGCCGTCCCCACACACTTTAAAGACAGTTCAGGGGTTGGCATCCCTGTTCTCCAGCAGGGACCGCTTTCATTTTTGACCGATTGAATGCTCTTTCCAAAAGTAAGGCGTAAAGAAGAGACTCAGATGATCCCAGACCCGCCCACCGCACAGACACACAAGTGTGCTTCGGACTCCGCTCTGCACGGGACCCGAGTCACACCCCGGTGCTGAGGGCTGGCCACTCCTCCTCGGACAGGCCGAGCTGCCATTTTTCAACAGTTTGAGGAGCAAACAGCTCAAGGAGTTCAAGGCACGAATTCAGTTCACTGCCAGGTGTGAGGCTCAGCATGACGGAGGTGCTCCTGCTTGCTCGCCCCTCTTCCTGTTCTCTCTCTGCTTAAAACCCCCGGCACTCTCTCTGCCTCTCCCTCCTTCCCTCTCCCCTTCTCCGGCTCTCCTTCTCTCTGTCTAGCATTCTCACTTGACTCCATGACAGACTGAGAGATTATTTTTATTTGCTTTATTGGTTGCTTTCCACATACTTTTTTCTTCACCATGAAATGGAATCAAAGCCCTCAAGGGGCCCTGAGCGAACTCTCCTCATTGCATCAGAGAATGGATGGCTTATCCTCCCTTCCGATGCCTGTTCTCTAGGACTCCTCCTTGGCTCCCATCTAATTTTCTGCACAACAGTAGAAGCTCATTTCATCTCGTTCTGTCCAGATTCCAGGGACAAGGGAGGGCAACCGGAGAGGGGCGATGCGTGTAGTCCAGGGTCTTCTCAGCCCGGCGGGCGGTGCCATTCCGGTCGCGTGGAGGTCAGTGGAGCCCCCGGGGTGGTGCCGGGCAGCGGACTCACCTCCAAGGACGCTAGGACAGAAGCAGGCATCCTTGGAAGCCAGTGCTTCTGTGTCCACACACCTGCAGCACCTGAGGACCGGGTCAGGCTCATTAAGGGCACGTGGGAAGGTTAAGAACTCTTCCGGACAGGGCAGGAATGCCACTTTGTGTGGGGTGCTGCCACAATGAATTAGGTTCACAGGACTCACAACCTGGAAAGTGACATAAAACAGCTGTCACAGAAGGCAGCTTTCCACTCAGGTCAGTCCATTTCCTTGTTTTGCTCTCCAGGCCCAGGGAGCCTCCCCGTCATCTTGATTTTGCCAGTGGGATCCCTCTGAGTCTAATTCAGGCTAATGTTGCAACGGAGCCTTGGGATGGTCATTGGTGAGCACCCAAGACAGGTTGTTGTTGGCTGTGTCTGGAGTCTGAGTTGTCATGAAAAAAAAGAAAGAAAGAAAAAGCATGATAAGTAAAAAAAAGCACAGAGGTTTTCCCCACTTTTAGGACAGTCAATTTATGAAAGAGGCAGAAACAAATATAAAATAGCAAGAGATTCTATTCACAATGTATATGTATGTCAAATCATCATGTTGTATTCTTTAAATATCTTACAATTTTATTCCTCAATTATGCCCCAATAAAGTTGGCAAGGAAAAAAAGAAAAGATAGTAGGAGATTCCAGAGAAAGACAGATGCTTGCGTGTCGCCCATTGTACACTGGGTTCCATTTGCTGTAATCCTTAGGTAGCCTGCGAGTCAGCCTCGTGCCCTGTTTTTCCTCATAATGTTCCAGGTTTAAAAGTCACTTTTTCACATTTCTTGTAAATAGTGGATAACCATTTTTTTAAAGTGCTGTTTTAACATGTGGATAGATCATAAATGTACTTGCTGAATTCATTCATTTTTTTAACAAGCCAATAAAGTTTTATAATTCATCTCCGTGTGTCCTGCATTCTCTCTAGGGCCTTGTATTCGTCCCTTCCTTCCCCCCAGCATCTCCATCACACTGTGTGTCCTTGGTGGTGTGCAAGAGGAAAGGTGTTAGAAAAAAGAGTATGAGAAACGTCATAGAGAGCTGGGGAGGGAGGAGTCCCAAACCTACGATAGATTCTGGAATAAATCTCCTTCAAAAAGGGACTTTTAAAGTTTCCACTAATGTGAATTATACATTTATTGTTTACTGATTCTTGACATTGGATATGCTTTTATTTGGTTAAAAGGCAATACTAAAAAGGCAACAAAAAATGTTTAAGGAAATTAAAATAAAAACCACCCTACATTCTATGGGAGAGTCCCTTGGTATTTTACTGATGACCCAGGTCCCAGCAAGAGGACACACAGGGAGCTCTGTCCCTCCCTTCTAAGGGACTTTGTGGTCAAATGAACATGATGGCTTGTGCTTTCCTGGAGGGGAGATTGAGGGAGACAAGGACATAGAGATAAGATGCTGTGGAATCCTAACTGTGAACGTGGTGTCCACACTTCATGTCCCTTTTGTTCTCATCTCCCCACGGGCCACCCTGTCATTCCCTCATTTCCCCCCCTTTTAAGGTAGGACCTAAAACTAAGGTCTGTAGGCCTCCAGCTCTGATTCATCTGAGCTTGCTTCTGGTTACGTTGACAGGGTTTTGCTCCAAATGAAAGACTTAGGGTCAGGAAACTGATCTAGTGTGACCCCATGTCTTGTCAAACCAAGTACACAGTCTCTCCTAAGAGCTGGCGTGGTGCTGCTGACTTGTGCTCTTTCTAAGCATCCCTCTCAGTTTGCCTTGCCGAGAACAGGTTTTGGAAGCCAGGTACTAATTTGAGGCAGTAGGCATTGGATTCAGACTCTTCGGGTATGAATCGAGCTATACTCAGGCTCAATGACCTTGGGAACGTCATTTCACCACTCCATTCCTCAGTTTCCTCCTTTGCAAAGCGAGATGATGATAATAGTGACAGCACCTCCCACTGGGCTCTTACGGGAGGTAAGGGAGATGGTTCAGGTAAAGCCTTTACTTAGAACCTTGCCTGGTAAGTGGGGGCCCTGGCTTTCGCCGATAAAATACTCTGAAGGACTTGGGTTTGCCCTGACCTTGGGTATGCCTCAGGAAGTGCCCACGAGTCGCACACGGATTCACTCGCATGTCAGTTATATGGCAATTGCATGAGCACGACTAATGGAGTCCAAATGAAAGGGAATTTCACTTGCTAGGTCATCTTGGAAGTGTCCGTGCTGTGACCGCCACTTTGGAGATTTCTCAAGAATTATCATCATTGTGCTTCTCGGACCTTCTTTCTGCCCAGGTGATTCTCGAACACTAATTCGACCTCAGATTTGATACTGACAAAATAATAGGACACGATTTGTTTGGGCCTGTGTTATGATCGTCTCTTGAGTTTGGACGGTGCTCTGTATTTTTAGGGTTCGGAAGGAAGTAGCATTGAAGGACATACCCCAGATATGGTCTGCCTCTTTTGTTCTCACTTTATTAATTCGGAATTTTTGATCATTTGAACCAGGTCAGCTTTAACTTTAACTTGTGGATTCTCCATGTGAAAATATTTGGCTAAGAATGAAGATAACGAATGAATTGGCCGAGAGATAGCTCGAAAGAAAAGACTTGTTTCAAGTTCCCTCAAGCCTTAGAAACAAGTGTTTACAGGCAATGAGTTACAAATAACGCGATTTTTCTCTTCTGCTTCCTGAGAAAGTTTCTCGCAAAAGCCCTAGTGGGCAACACACGATTGGCGTGGTTGGTGCTCCTTCATGCTGGAAGTGATAACATTTTAGTTCTTTAATCATGTTTTGTAATTTGGACATTTTGTTGCTGTTATTAAATCATTTTAAATAAGTGGCATTGAAGTTATACCAGCACTTAATTTAAGGTACGTTTACTCGTTAGCACCTTTTCTAACACACTTTGAAGCAAGATCTACAACTGTATCTAAGAGGTGTAGTAATAGTTCATGGGTATCAATTTCTCACTCTGGACCAAGCACACGTTACGTTTTAAGTACTGAAACATATATTAATGTATTTATTAATTCATTCCCTGCAGTCCTATGAGGCCAATAATAATATTGTTTCCATTTAAAAATGTTAAGAAACTGAGCAACAGCCCAGCCGGTGTGGCTCAGTGGTTGAGCGTTGACCCATGCACCAAGAGGTCGATAGTTGGATTCCCAGTCAGGGCACAAGCCCAGGCTGTGGCCCTGATTCCCAGTGGGGGGCACGCAGGAGGCAGCCAATCAATGTTCTCATCAATGTTTCTCTCTCTCTCTCAAATCAATAAAAAAAAGAAAAAAAATTAAAAAAAGAAACTGAGGAACAGAGTGATCAAGGGCCTTGCCTCAGGTTACCTAGCTAGTGAGTGGTAACTGGGATTGGAATTCAGACAGGCTGGCTCAAGGCCAGGGCTCAGAACAACTACCCTAGGGGCTGGACTCTGAGCAGGGCCAGGACTGGGGTGAGGCCAGCAGGTGCCTAGGACACTCTCAGGGCTGTGCCAGCACCCAGTGGTCACTCTTACCAGCACCAGAGTTTGAGCAGACATTATTGTTGTGGCAAAGCACAAATGCAAGGTTAACTTCAGTCACTGGGGAGGCACAGGCTGCCCAGGAAGCCCCTGGTTACGGAGCCCTAACCAAGCCCTGCAGATCTTGACTTGCAGGTACAGGGCACAGCAGAGAGATTGGCACCTGCTTTGAAAATGTCACCTTATGTAACAGAGAAGTTGCAGGAGGTTTCTGTTCCGTGCTAATTAACGAATGAACACCCAGAGCATGTTTGCTTAGTCCATTGTAACTGAAGACGGAAGTGTTGTTTTGATTGTTCTAAAGTGAATCTTGGCTCTTGAACTTGAGTACTTCCTGTTCCCTTGGAGCAGTCCTGACTCTGATGAGTGATGGTGAGGGAAGCTGCCTGGTGGGGGTGGGCTGGGAGGTGTGGTGGGAGGTGTGTTTGAGGACACGTCCTGTCACCTGCACGAAGAGGATCCAGCCACTGGAGCAAGGTGGTGGGGATGCCTGAGCAGTCCCTTGCCCCTGAAACACAAGGAGACAGAGCAGCATCTGAGCAGCTCGGTCACGTCCACGCTTCTGTCTGTGAATGTGCTTTCTGGCAGCTAGTGACTGGGAGAGGCTGCCAGGGCACATGCTAATTTTCCTGTCATTTGGTCATGTCTCATCTCACACAACACAAGACCCCCAGGCCTGTGTTTACTGAATCAAAATCTCCGCCTGACCATAGGCGAATGAACAATAAGTTCTCTCCTTGCCTCTCATCTTTCAAGGTTTTTATTCTGTTTCCCGGGAGGCAAGGAGAAACTGCTCTTGTAATTCACCTCCCTTCCACTTCTTTCTAGTAATTCTCATCATACAGTAATTAGTCTTGCCAAATCGCTAAATAAAAATGTAGGTCACGGCTGTTTGCTTTAGGGATTAGGGTTCAGGTAAGTTTGTACAATTTCATGAAAGACCCCTGAGCTTTGTGGGGTGGGAGTAAAAGTCGCCAGCACAGGGTTCTAGGTTTTAAGTGAACTAAGCCACAAGCAGTTAAAGGTGCTTCAGGCTTTGTAATGATTACTTCCTCGACA